TCATGAGGGAGTGGGGAGCAGGGAGGGAGGGGGAAAATGAGGACCTAATGCTAGGGGCTTACGTGGAGAGGAAACGTTTTGTGAATGATGGGGGCAATGAATGTACAAATGCGCTTTACACAATTGATGTATATATGGATTGTGATAAGAGGTGTATGAGCCCCTGATAAAATGATTAGAAAAAAAATTGTAATAATCTAGAAGTTTGCTTTGAGTGGGGTTTTTTGTCCTAATTTAGTCATGGTTTCTTGATGTTTGAATCATCAGTTTGTAAAATCATATGAATCATCTGTTTTACAGTTCTCATAAATTAATGACTGTTTAGCATGTTGACGCTGCACTCTCAGTATTTAAGAACTTCATTCTGATGGTGATAATTTCATGTCCACATTTAGCAACTGATTTTATATACAAAATACCAGCAGTTCTAAATGATTCACATCTTGGCTTAAGCATCCTCACTTAACCATTTTAGATTGTTTCCATAGATGCTAATGAATCTGTTGCCAGCCGGGTGAAGGTCTTTAAAAAAAAATGGTCCTAAACCCCAAAGTAACATTGTCTCTGCCCTGAAAGAAGGAAGTGTAGGAATGAAGGCAATCCAATTTTATCTGATAAAATGTTTTCCTTATTCACTATACATGGCTAATTCCTTGGACATAAGGATGGTGAGACTGGGTCTCATGCTTTGGACATGTTATCAGGAGAGACCAGCCCAATCCAGTGAGATGGATTGACCCATAGCCCAACAATGGGTCCAAAGATTCTAAAGCTGGAACTATACTGGGGAGAGAAAGACCCTCATGGAGGTGGATTATCATATTGGCTGCCACAGTGGGCTCAGACATCACGATGATTATGGGGCTGGTGGCAGTCCATGCAGCGCTGCATTTTGCTATCTGCAGGGTCGCTATGAATTGTAGTCACCTCCTCCACACCTACCGGCAACATACCTGATGAATGTGTTGAAGGCCTTCGCTTAGCAAGAGTTCATCATTGGTCTTTTCCCTGATGCTACATAGACTGGGCTAGTTAAATGTGTACTGCAGTGTGGACACATGCTTGGTGCTGCACGTTTTGTCTATTTTCCTGCGCCTTGGCCAATGCCCGGCCCATGTCATAACTACATTTTCAGTGATCTGACATCGATCCCTTAAGCTTCCTGCCTCTCCTGTCCATTGGTGTTTCAAACTAATGGAAACGATGCTTTAAAGAGACATCTGAGACAGTGGCCAATATTAACCAGTACCTTGGCGTTCTTTAAATAACTTCTTTCAAGTTATTTAAACCTCGCTCAAAGATAGTGTACCGGTGCTTCTCAGTCAGCAAAGCAAATTGGAATTTTTTATTTATATGTTGCTCACAGTGGAGTGGGATTGAAACAGAAGTCATAGACCGTAGAAACACAACTAACTTAATGGCGTTTTATTTCTAAGAAGGCATGCTCTGAGTAAGACTGGGCTGAGGGAAAACTAGAGGTGGTCTAAGTATAGAGAAATTTCATTATTGCTGGTATCAGGGAAATGAATTCTATTAGCCCTGGTGTCTAAAGATACAAAGTTAAGTGTGTGGTTTTTGGTTTTGTTTGCTTCCCTCCTAATGTTATGTCTTCAGTGTTCCTCATCATTGCATTATACCACCGGGGGGATTTAACAGTATCTTGACAATTGGAAAATGAAG